ACACACACTGGCCCAGCTAACCAATCACAACACACACTGGCCCAGCTAACCAATCACAGCACACACTGGCCCAGCTAACCAATCACAGAACATTTCGTATTTCAGAAGGCGGGCCTTCATTTGATACAGGAACTATTCGAGTCGTTCATGCCAGACTCGGGAGAGAGGTGTTGTAATAATGTAAAATATGTGAAAAATAATGTGTTTTTCGAGCCTATTCTAGTACACCCCCAAAACAAAATCAAGGCTTTGTAAAAGATCATAATAGGACTCCTTTAACCACACCAAACGGGCAGAAACATCCGTTTCTGACTCATTAATCACCGTTTAGTCAGGTCCTGACCTGAGCGTTCGGCTTCACTTTACGTTAGCAAAACGCGGTCCGTTCGAATCAGCGTTTACTGTCGAGATCTGTGCCGGTTTACAGAAGCCAGACGGTCACACCTGTCTCTCAAACAGGTTTCTGCATGCGCCGGTCCAGCCAAAGAGGACGATATTTAAAGATCATTTGGTGATCTACTTACTCATAAAGCAAGTGAATATTTCAAATGAAATGGTTATGATATTTTTGCATGTTTTAAATCACAAACATGGTCTTTTTGGACATTGTATAGGGTTTGTAAATAGTCTAATTTGTCGTTTTGCTCACTGATGGATGCTGGAAGGGACGGACACATGGTAGAGTTTTAGTATTATATTTTAGATGTCGGTGCCATCATGTTTTCTTTTGTAAATTTGTAGAAAAGCCATTGTATTTCTATTGTGCCTCCTTGACGGTTTTTACGATGAACTGAATAATGGAGTTGCGTGGGTTTTTTCTTTCTTTTTTGTGTTACGTGATTAGTTAGCAGCTGAAATGGTAAAGAGAGACTCGTTTGAGACACGTTTGACATCGAGAATATGCTTGAAAACCATCAGCAGTATTTGTCTTCCACCGTTTACCTCTGCAGACCATGAACCGGACGTGTTCGTAAGTGCGATTTATATATGTATTTTAAAGTCGACGTGAAATCAAAACGGCCCCTATTTGCTTTCTTAATAACACTTAAAGTCTTGTTAGTTAATGTATTAACTAACAATAAGCAATACAGTATTACAGTATTTTTTGTTGTTGTTGTTGTTAACGTTACTCATACGGCAATTTTTTTTTTCTGGCCAAAATGTATTTTAAATATATGTTGTAAACAGTGATGTTAAAAGAAGTATATTTTAAAAATTAAAAACATTTAGTTTCAACCAAAATGGTATTTCAAAATGTATTTTAAGGACAAGAAAATACATTTCCAATTAATTAATGTAAAAATGTTTTATAAGTTCACATGTGTTATTGAAAAAAAACAAAACTAAAATTTCAAATGTGACGTGAACATGTTTTCTTGGATTGATCTCTTTTTGAAATTCTTTAAAAAATGTTTTTGTATTTTTAAAATATACAAAAATGGCCAAAAATATATTGGTAGAAAACTTGACATAAATATATTTTGAAATATAATTTAGCCAATATATTTTTTGGCCTTTTTTTAATACTTTGAAATATATATATATATATATATATACAGTATATTAATATACAGTAATTTTTTTTATTTTTTTTTATTGCAGTTTGGGTATAAAAATACGACTATTAGTTCATGTAAGTTCATGTATTAACATTGATAATGCATTAGTAAATGTTGAAATTAACATTAACTAAGACTCTTTAGAAGTATTTTTCATTGTTAGTTCACGTTACTGGACTAATGTTAACAGAAGAACCTTATTAACGCTTTCTTTATACAAATCAAATGTGTTTACAGAATTTTTTTATCAAAACCTAAACATCACTTTCCCTTTTTCTAATTTCTGAGCATCCAGTCAGTTGTCATATTTTCATATGTGATTCCGGGAGTGGAATGGGTTGTGAATGTGTTTTCATGTCGACTTTAAGCGTGTTTACATGCGTCCACAGCCTCGTGCCTGTCGCTTCCTGCAGGGAAAATGTGCAGGAATTGTAACGTCTTTGAATGTACGAACTGTAACAGTTTACATGTATTTTGGTCATGTGAAATGAACACAGAATCACAGTATTTTTCTGACTGTAGAGGAACAGTCGTGAGAAATGAGGTGAAACCTCGTCTGCTCACTAACTGCCATCATATCCTATAAAACCACAGCCAGTCGGCTGCGGCCTCCTGCGGCTCGACCAATCACGAGCCGCGTATCTGCCACGTCACTGCGGGATTTTTGTATCACTGAAGCTGTTTCCATATTATGTAACATAAAAAATAAAGAAATGTAAAACGACATCCTCCTTTGTGTTTTCACTGATGGAGAAAGTCTTCAGTTTCCACGGTGATGTGAATATGAAAGAAAATATCAGAGATATTTAAATTATGATAATGAGGTCAAAAATAATGCGATGCATCTTATAAGCATTACATTTTTGCAATTACAACAATACATAACATCATGAATATTATTTCATTAAAATTCATATTTATAATTAAGTTACTTACTCAGGATAAAAGCAAATAAATAAACAAATTAGTAAATTATTTTACTAAATGTATCACTAAAGTCTTAGTCCTAAAAATAAGATTAATTTTCTTTAGGCTAAATATGTCTTATTTCTTATTTCAGTTTCATGAGATTCATCCACATGTTCAAGAACAGTATGTAAGTCACTTTGTATAAAATTGCTTGCTAAATGAATAAAAATAATACATGTAAATTAAATTACTTCATTTGACTACATTATTAGTAGTCCTAAAAATAAGATTAATTTAGTTAAATGTCTTGTTTCTTGATTTTTACCATTTTCATGAAATTGATTGTGATATTTTTTTAATGTTTTATATATAAATAAGCAATATAAATTTGCTTTTAAAAAGTATTAAAATTATTCAAATGTATAATTTTATATAAAATATTTAAAGCATTTTTTAAAAGGGAATTTTGTGCATTTTAAAACAACACATGACTACAGAAGAAACATTTACATACTCTTCAAAAACTCACTTTGGCTGATCTGTTAAATTAATAAATGAAAATTAAATAAACTTAATTTAGAACTAAATTCTTAGTAGTCCTAAAAATCAGATTAATTTTCTTTCAGCTAAATATAATGCTTTATTTCTTGATTTTGACAATTTCCTCCAGGATTATTTTTTGTTTTCTAAAAAGAAAATCTTTTATAAATATAATTAAACAATACAAATTATAGGAATATAATTTTATTCAAATATATAACATAATTTAAAATATTTGGGAATTTTGTGTATTTTAAAACAGCACAAGAATATTTTAAAACATGCAATATAAGATTTTTTAAAAGCCATACCTACATCAAATTATCTGTATTGTGATGAGTCATTTCCATTGCAATTTCATGGATACACACCTTTAAACTGCAGGGCAATAAAACACGTGTCATGATCCTCAAACACGCCAACACTTGGCCGCACACACACACACACACACTTGATC